ATTTGATTGTTGCTCGCAAGAGCTAGGATCAGTATGAAGTCCACCTTGACTTGATGAACGGAAAGAAGCACAAACCGAAAGGTGGTAGAGTCAGCGAACTTGTAGATGTTTAACACAGTTTGGAAATGCATTAGCCGCCTACTGCAAAACACAGAATGGGACAGCTTGTCAACAGTTGAAAATTCAAGCAGGTACGTTCCCAAGGCGTCCCTCGGGAATATCCTGACGAATGGCTGGGGCTTCGTTGGATCAGGCCAAGCCAAACGTCCCTGATCCCCCTGCCTCTTTTTCGCGCTGGTTTTTGATTTGAATAAGCTGCACGCTAATAGCGATACCAGGAGCCCTTAGTAGCGAAACCAGGGGCCCCTAGTAGCGTCCTTTGTGACTCAAAACTTTGGGCACAGGTGTGGACACACACACACACACACACGCACACACACTTGGGACGCATAGGCTCCTGATGCCGGGTGGGGTTGTATTTCAAATTCGTGGGAGAAACATCACCGAAACCTTAATGAATGGTTTGGGAGTTGTAAGAATCCACGCCCGGGTACATGCTCAAACCACCCATTCACCACTGCCCGTCGCCCTGGTGTCTTGGGTCAACTAATGACTAGTGTATGCCGTGTCAAACTGGGCAACATGTTCGGCCCACCATTTAGACGACTGATCAAAATTCTGACCGTCCGAACTTACAACTTTGATCTCAATCCATAGCGTCAATATAGAGTTTCACGTGCCTCAAACCAAAACAACAGGTCGTGCAGCTGCGGACCTTTCCCTGGTGCAAGGACCATCATGTACGATACCTTCATGGCTGAACCCTTCTCGGCTCCTGAGCCACCTGCCGGACGCACTGCTCCGGCAGCTTGGCGACCGGCTTTGGGGAGCTCGGGACGGGACGATCTCCAACCTCATAGCAGGACTCTTAAAAGAAACTTAAATAAGGAAAATTAATGGAACCTAATAACTTCCAACCTAGAAGCAATGGCCTCCAACCTAAAAACGATGGCCTCCGACCTAATAACGATGGCCTCCAACCTGATATAATACAGTTTGTGACAAATCCATGGGAACGCATGTTGTATCCATCCCCTGCAAACCTTTTGCCATGGTATGGTAAGGGATATAGGGTGAACGTTTTTGTTTTTTCGTGTTGCGCAAGCCGTGAGACTGATGTGTTTGGTTGCTTGGGCAGGGCATTGCTAGTAGGTTGGAATGCTTTCTCATCAAACACCTCGCCCTTGAGGGAACAGTTGAGTTTGACCATCCATTGCCATGTGACTTGTGAGGCGGAGGACTCTACGCAAGCCTATGAGGCAGTCCCAGGCAGGTGACGTGAGGTGTGTTCACGGTGATGCGGAACTTCTAGATTCTAGATTTGGGTCGAACAAAATCAACATCACCTCAAGGCTGCGCCGCAGGCCTAGCAAGGGAAAGAGAAACCGTTGGCGAATGGACTGGCGTTGAGTCAAGTGAGCACGGCGTAGCATTGATGGACACCCATTCATGTCTCTTCTTGCTTTTTCAATGAGGATTTTGAGCGGGAGAGGGTGTGGGTATCAACTCAGTCGGGTAGAGCTTGCAAAGGAAACAGCGTTCCCGCCATTCCAACAAAACCAAACTTGTTTGCTGCTTAGCTCCAGACTCTTAACGTGCATGCATTCTGTTCTGAGACAACTCGCGCAGAACTCTTACTTCACCCACATGAGTGCATCCCAGTCAACTATTTGGCACGGTATTAAATCGCAACTACGAAACGGCAAATCCCAGGGGTCTCGGAAGGATTGATTTCCCACTTGGGAGTTTTGACCAGACCTGGATGCCGGACATGCGATTGAAATGCACCTGGCAATTTTTGCGTCCAGTGCCTTCAGTGCCTTCAACATGATTTGAAGGTGAGATAAAGCCATAGGATGGTAACCCCATCACCCCATCATATTGGCTGTTGGATGCTGTTGGGTAACCCTTGAGGTTCGCTGTTGGGTTTAGCTCTGGAACATTGGATGTGTTGGTGTGTTTGTCTTCTTGATGCCATGCCACGAACGTACTTCTTGCCGTGGAATAGAGTTCTACAATGTTCTACAGTAACTCTAAGCTTGGTTTTGCCAGGCGTTCTCACCCTGTGTGCTGGGTGCCACATGATTTCCCGCCTGGAGATGAGTGGTGTTTCGGTAAGCAAAGGGCTACAGTAGCGACGGCAATTGGTTGTATACTATCAATCAACCATCAGTCATCATTAGGCACTGCAGCAGAGTGGAGGCAACGTCCAGCTTGCCACAACAGAGTACATTGCGGAGTTGGAAATAGACCCGTTTAACCTCGAGACCTGCTTCAAACGGTCCAACAGAGTCTGCAGATGTTTGCCGCCTGCGGCCCTCAGTCTTCGCAGGTGGCATTCCACAAGCTTTTCAGGTTACGCCCACGCACCCCGGCACCAAAGAACTGTCGCGGGGACAGGTGAAAGGTAGAAACCAGGCTGTTGCAGCATGTCATATCATGTTTGATGCACAACATGTTGCAAGTTTCCATTTCATCGTCGTGGTTGTTGTCATCATCGTCATCGTCATCGTTATAATATGTTATAATCATCATCACCATCATCGTCATACTGCATACTGCATAGTGCATAGTGCATACTTCATACTCATCATCGTGGTCATCGTCATCTCGCCGTCGCCGTCGTCATCATCCTCATCCTCCTCATCCTTCTAATCCTCACTCTCACCCTCACCCTCACCCTCATCTGATCCACTTGGGAAATTGGCGGAAGAAGTTCGAGCAGATGAGCTTTTAAATTCTCTTAAATCACAGGGTTGGGTAAGGAAAGAATTGAACAATAACAGTGTACACGTTTTGGCATTAGAGTAGACTTGAGTTTCTCTCCAACCCAGCAACAGCCTTGAAGGAGGAGGTGACGAGCAATTTAGTAGGGGTCTCGATCAGTTGGGGGTGCAGGTGCAACGTAACATGTCACTATCCTGGGCCCATAGCATACAAACAATTGGTTACATTTACTGTAGTTTGCTGGGGTGTGTGCATTGTCCACCAAGAAAGAGTTCAACTCTTTTTCTAGCAAGGCAGTTGCTGAACCAGTGATCCTTAGAGCCTCTCCAGCCCCTTAGGCCAGCTATGGTCGGGGCCTCGTCCGCCTTGTTCGTCGCACAGACATTTTGATGGTTTGTTATCTCAAGGACTCCTAAGGGGTCTCTTACAAAATATATGTTCCTCATAAAGCTGGGTGTTTTGAGTGTCAAAACATAAAGGTGGGCTAGCGGGATAAGCTCGATTTCTTCCCTGTGCAGAATGATGGTGGGTCAGCAGGGTCATCCGCTTGCCACTTTCCCCAAGGAATTGCATTTAGATGTTGTATTGATTCCACTCCTTGCTAACTCCTTTTGGAGACAGTGGGAACTGCGAATCTATGACAAGCTCCGGACAGATTCAGCCTATTTGATTTCAGAAGTTTCAGTCTCACAGCGTGTTACCCCCATGGTGAAAAAACTAGTGTCTAGCCACTTCGCCAAAACACCCTGGAAAGACGAAGAGAGTTTGAGCCACACACTGGCCTCGGGCAGGTTGGGAAGGATTTCAATTTTTGTGTTTGTATTTGGAACCACTTGTACCTCTAGCACTGCAGGGTACTGTCCAGTTTTCTTCGCATGAGAGAGCAAGCGTGAGGTTTTCATCGCCCAAAACAGGTGGCCATCAAAGCCACAGAGGCTGACCCTCTGCCTTGCACCGCTTCAGTCGACGCTCCATCTTGACCCCTTTTGTCCGTCCCAAAAGGGTGCCTTGGTTGGTGGAAGAAGGGTTTGGGAGCTTTCAACGACCAAGAAATTCATTTGGCTTACTACTAGGAAAAGAAGCTACTAGGGGCTCCTGGCCTTACTACTAGGAGCAAGGACGCTACTAGGGTCTCCTGGCATCGCTACTAGGAACAAGAAGCACCTTCTGGACATCACCAAGTGGCAGTGGCCGGTGCTGAAAGGATTGATTCGAGCGGCTGCCCTGAGGCGGCCACCCAGGAGTACGGCGACACCTTAGTGAGGGGTGCCCAGATGTGCCCCAATTGGGGCTGGCGACTTTTGGGCGAGACTTTGGGCCAAACCGAGCGTTGATCCTTTTGCCTTTTACTATCAGGATATTTTCCCAGCCATTCCAGCACTATTCTGTGTTGAAATCATACTTCATGCTTGCAAAACACCTTAAGAGTTATCTAAGGGAACAGTACAATTTCAGCCGGTTTAGCGCCCCTGAACACACTGGCCCGAACGGGTAACTTGCCAACTTGGAGGGGCGAGTTCCAATGTGGAACTTGCAACATGTTTGTATGCTGTAGGCTGTAAATGTTCATTCATATTTTAACAAACACACACATATATATTATATATATATATAACATAAACACCATGGCCTGAAGTCTAGCGCTGTGTGGTTCTGATGTTTGTCCTCGTTTCGATTAGCCGGTAAGATTCCATCAAGGTCCATAGCAACCCCAAAACAGTGAATTCCCTCTACAAGAGTGTTGGAGATCATTTCCATTATATGCTCGTTATAGCTTTATCTTTTCACTTTTGGATATTCTGGCCCTTCCTAAACAAGATGCTCTAGCACCCGACGCTCAAAAGAAGGCAGTTAAAGACGGGTGCCTATGTGACACTTGTTGCTTTATCAGAAAGAGGGCCTTTGTCAAACATGGTGTAAAGCATGGAGTCAACGTGTGTGGCAGGGTTAGTAAGGATTTATTTTGTTTCTCATGTTGAATTGGGGAACTCACCCCTTGAGACAAAAAAGTCGTCCGCTCTCAAAACGCCCTTACCTTCGTCTGAAGGTCTTGGAGCACGAAGGGGATACGCAAGAAGTTGCTGAGTTTCCCTCAGTGGTAGTGGGGGCAAAGCCCGCAAGCCCCTCGCCATCGACAGAGACAAGCCCTGTCAAAGCGACTCCCCCCAAGAACCACGTGCCATCAAGTCCAGCGCGACCCACTTTTCGTGTCGTCACAACCTCAAGCCCGGCACAAACCACCCCCCCTTCTGCAACGGCATCAAGTCCAGCACAGCCCACTCCACATGCAGTCGCAACAAAAAGCCCATCACAACCCACTCCACCCGCAGCTGCAGCCCCAGCAAAAAGCCCAGCAAAACCCACTCCACCCGCAAGCCCAGCACAACCCACTCCACCCGCAGCTGCAGCCCCAGCAAAAAGCCCAGCACAACCCACTCCACCCGCAAGCCCAGCACAACCCACTCCACCCGCTGCTGCAGCCCCAGAAAAAAGCCCACCGGCGTCCGCAGTGGCAAGCCACAGCCCTCAGCCAGCGCCACTGGCAGCAGGATCAATCCCACCACAGGCATCAAGCCCAGCTGCAGCTGGCCGCACTCCACCAGCAATATTAGACCCAAACCCACACCGACTCACACCTGAAAGACCCAGCCAACCTACAGGTGCAAGGCTCGACACATCTGGGGCAGCCTCATCTTCAGCCTCCAAATCCGGGCTGAAGCGACTCTTTGGCAAGCAGCCGCCACCACCAGGTGTGGGTTGACACGCCAATGACGGTTCGAGCGGGTTTGGCGAGCGCATGCGAGCGGTTTGCTGGGTCTTTTTCGACGCCTGAGTTTCTTCAGCAATTACATGCTAATCATGCTACTTGTACATTCTTGGATGTGATTTCTTTTGAATCCTGGAGACCATGCTGGTCCTGAAAACCCCTCTTCCCAGTCTTCGCCACGCTCGCGCAGGCTACAAGCCGCCCAAGCGCCCTCGCACCTCGCGTGGGTCGAAACGTGCCACAGCGGCAGCGTCGCCCCGCGCCAGGCGTGTGGCCCAGGGGAGGTTTGGAGTATGGTGAGTGCTGGCCCTGTGAACGGAGGATCCCTTTCAACTTTCAACAAAATCCCCCTGGCTGGGAGCCGTGAGTTTGGCTTTTGAGGATCACCAGACTGATCACAGCTGAAATCTGGCGGCAGAGTGCCCAGTTGCTTGTTTGTCTGCTTGTTGCATTGAAGAGTTCAAGTGATGATACGTGATCAAGGATAGGAGTTTCAACCCAAGCTATCTCCTGAACAAAGAAAAGCGCTCATCCTCCAAGCAGGTTGCTTGTTTCTTATGAACTTGTAACACTTGCTAGGCAGGCCATCCAGGGCCACCAGGACCTGCCAGGTCCACCACCACCATTCCATGGAATGTGGATGTAAAAACATCGTCATGGTCACCATTTCGTAGCCATGGATCCACGGTCACGACGAGGCCTGCCTCCTCGTTGCCCCCCATGGCCGGGTGCCGGGCCTGGTGACCCAGTGATCCGACGGAGCTGTTCTGGAGCTGCAGACCAACCCCCTAGAAGCGTCCTTGCTCCTAGTAGCGATGCCAGGAGCCCCTAGAAGCGTCCTTGCTCCTAGCAGTAGCGATAGAAGCGTCCTTGCTCCTAGTAGCGATGCCAGGAGCCCCTAGAAGCGTCCTTGCTCCTAGTAGCGATGCCAGGAGGCCCTAGAAGCGTCCTTGCTCCTAGTAGCGATGCCAGG